ATATATATCCTGAGTAATATTATAAATGTGAAAGTAACTCTGTATGTCTATCTGTCGCGCTTTCACGCCAAAACTTCTTAACCGATATAAATGAAGTATGGTACACAGATAGGGTAGACCCAGATAAAGGACATAGACAGACAGATAGATAGATAGAGACATCTACTCTTTAATGCGAAAATAGGTATGTAAGTGGTTGAAAGGGGAGATGAAAGGAAAGTATCGTTATTTTTAAAGCTAGGAGTTGGAAATGTTATATTTAGTCTGTGGATTAAATATAAATAAATATGCCATTCAAAATTTTCCCTTAATGGGGTAAAATAAAATATGGGATGAAAGTTTGTACGGTAATTCGTCATTATTTAAAAATGCTAGCTAAGGTCACTATTCCACGAGAACAAAATAGCGGGTACAGCATATATACATATATATTGAGATAAACGTTAGTATTGAAGTAAAATAAATTTTTACTTGTGCAGCGCTTCAGCCCAATGCCACGACTTCCGATGGCCATGGATTCGATTCCCGCGCAGTGCAAAGATTGGTATTTACTCATGAGTATGTTTGTTTGTATTGCGTGATATCCTTTTTGTATTGACAAAAAATGTTATTGATGTCTATCGGTTACATGGTCGTAAAAGGGATCTATTTCAATAATAACTCTAACCCTATTGACTGGAATGAAGGAGATTGTATCATTTGGTTGACATCCACGTGGTTTCCCCTGGATACCATTGCGATAAATTTCTATGAATTTGCCACGATTGGCTAACTGACCTAACCTTACGTTCTTATCTTCCACTGGAACTCCGCTACAGTAAACCTTTAGAGCAGGCGAGAGCCATTCCCTTGTCGTCCATTAAAAACTCCTATTGACTGCACAAAGAAGTTGCATACACAAATATATTCAACCCAAATGAGAATTTTGAAGTTCGTTAAATATAACAAACTTTAAAATTTTATACAATTTCGACATAGTCCCCGGTCATTTCACCCACATCGGCCAGTTCTGTCACAAGACAAGCGTTTTGGCAAAATAACGAGTCATGTGCAATTTTGAAAACTGTTTGCACAATACGCAGTGCGAGAGAGATGGCGTGACTCATTTGCTGAGAGATAGAGCAGGACGGTGCATCCGTTGTGGCACTGAGTTACTTTATTATTATGTCATAAGGTGTGTAGTCAATGACCTACTTGGTTATATACCTACAGTTTATGTAAATATTATTATAATATAATTATACTGCAAATCAATACTTAAGTATTTCATCTTAATATTAGTGTAATTACAGTTTTTATATTATATTTATATATCCATGTATAACCTATACACTTTTAGTTATACATTATTATTACGGGAAGAATTATTAACGGATCAGCCGTTTAGTTGAAATTTGGTTTGGATATAGACTGCATCAGTAAGAAGGACATAGGCTTCTCTCATTGTCTCTCATCTTTGTGACTGAAGAGATGGTCGTCATATAATCCGGGTGGTCTGTAACTACCTCCCCACGGTGCACAAATCTAAGGGTGATTAATTATTATATATAAATAAATAAAATAAAAAATAATTTGTAAATTTAATATGCAGTAAATTGAGTACCTACCTACAAATAATAAATATAGTGATAAGGGGAAAGCCTAAAAAATTAGCAGCCTGCCTAAGGATGCCTAAGGGCAGTAAGGTTATTATAATTACATAACTTAAAAAAACAATATATCTTCGGAATATCTTCTTAGCTCGCGTGAAGTATACGAAGATATGGGGAACCTTCTGCGCTTCTGGAAGCTTATCTTGGCTGATCCTTGCTCCACACGTATAGCCAAAATGTGTGGCTTAGTACGGCAAGAGTTCATTTTACACACCTCAACAGCTTAAGGGGGTAGAATCAAATTGGAGGTACAAGCTTGATTGATAAAACTAGATATTATTATTAATAATAATAATAGTAACACTATTGCACACCGAAAAATAATTACAATAAACATTACATAAATGTGTTAAACCAAAAGCGGTTTTAACGCTTGAACCAGACTCTTACAGATAACCTGATACTATCCCCGACTTCGTCCAATTTTTGAGTTAAAAGACACTTCATGTCTGTTCAGCCAAAGGTGACATGCAGACAGATAGAGAGGCAAACATACTTTTGTTTATAATATTTAAGGATTATTGTGAAAACTTTTATCAAAAATCAAAAGTTTTTTGTTAAAAATAAATATAATATGCCTGAAGAGGTTAAATTGTGAAAATACTCTTTTGGAAGTCATTTGAAGAAAACACAATGCTGAACAAATATGCTGCATTCAGCATTCATATATTTTGACTGAACACTGAACAGTAAAAAACCGGAATAGCAAAGTCAACGACACCGAACAGGTACGTACGGCGGGCGAGTCGAGAGACATTCTCTCTACAAACAGTGGGCCAAGGTTACTTCTTAAAGAGCAAACGAATTGAGGCCGAAATTCGTCTTGATACGTCACTATTATGTCAGATCGTGTCTAGTTCGGTTCAGTTCAATATCTTTAAGTTCACTAACCACATTACCACAGATATGTTGATGAGTGTACACGAAAAGACCTAAATTTTTTAAAGCAACGTAATTGACCACACCCTGCTTGATGGTGTACAGCGGTTGTGGTCCATATATGAGACATTACACATTTAGTAAGCTGTTGAATTTATTCGAGATAGATTTTTTAGAAAGTCATTTACAATTGATTTTCCCGTTCAATTAAAAACGAGGGTCGAAATGCCTGAGCTAAGGTTGAACCCCTAGCGGTGTCTTCAGACTAAAGTCGTGTACGCCAGCCAGGAGTTGACCTTCTGCCGCTCCATAACATAGTTCGATGTTAAGAGTTAAAAAAAACATTTACGAACTTACCTTGGTTTCTGTACGTTTTTTAAAAACTGTGTTTTAGTTAGTTTGAAGGGGGAGTTATGGCAGTGAAATTGCAGAGATCATGGCATAAGATCTTAGTGCATAGGAATGGCAAGGCTTGATGGTTAAGAGTATCATGTGACGATATGATGGCAAAGCTACGGTTTCAGGTTACGTTTGCACTTACATACCTTTTACAGTTATTTTTCATAGGTGTTGTTGAATTGTAATATTGACAACTCGCATATTACCATATATTTTCAAGCCTCCTTTAAAATCGTCTGTGTTGTAGGAAATACACATGGGGGTAGAAAAATTTCACAAATTTGTGTAAGAATAATATTTCTTTCAATTAGGTTATACAGAAAATTGCCAACACTTCCACAACAAATTAGTTCAATAAGACTATTTTTAATTATTCGTCGTTTATTATTTTTTAATTAAAATATATATATATAAATTATGTTAATTAAAAAATAATAAACGACGAGTAATTGAAAATAGCATAACAAAAAACAAGAATAAGATATATTATTCTTGTTGCTCTCTTTTTTAAAAAAAATATATCTATATGCTAATGCATTTATTACCTTATAAAAATATTATATATTATTATGCTATCATCTATTACAATAATCCTCGCCAAGCAAAATATTGAGGCAAATATTGTAGCAAATGTAACAAACACTGTAACTATTAACCTGAAGATCTCAAACTACGGGTACTCAAAGAGGATAGCATCGCGGATGCTAAAAGGGAACCGCTAGCAATAAGAGCAACCATTCTGTAAAATGGCGAAATTGTATACGACTTAGGATGAAAATTACATAAAAAACACCCATAAACGCAAAGAAGCGCTTTGTGCCCAAGGTGGCGTGCCAATTGCATTTACAATATTTTGGGTCGGCGTGTTATATAACGTTGAGAAATATTACTCGCTTCTGGTATGATTATCTGTCGCGTTATCTGTGCGGGCGCTGATTACAATGGTGGGATTAACAAATCGCGAATGTGTGGAAACGCCGGCATTGGTACCATACTGGCATATTTATTGCTACTCTTTCAATCGTTTATAAGAACAAAATAAAGGAATGAAAATTATTTAATTAATTTCAACATTTTTTTTTATTCATATACTATACTAACTTTATACCGTGGCGTCGCATGCGTGTAGCTTATGTTACTGAAAAATATCTGTGTTTTGTATAATTGTATATATGTAACGTTAAATTACTGTAACGTGAAACAACTAATCTTGATTAGTAATTAGCCAGTTACTTGTACAATTAGTTTGTATATAAATAATTATTTTAGTATTTTAAACACGTCACGTTTCAAATTTTCAGGGCAGCAGTAAGGGTTTTTATAATTGATCTTTATTTTTAATTAATAATAATATAAATATAGATTATCAACGCTGGCCTTAAGAGACGTGTTATACTTAAAATAATGGCTCAGAGGCATTATAAAGTCTGAGGTCGCTGCCGTCTACAGTTTAAGTGAATTATTGTTTTATTATTCTTCTTATATCCTCTATTTGTAAAACCCACGTAACCCGGTAGTGGTATAATTAATTTGACATTTAATTTCAAATCCGCACATATCATTTAACGATCGTAAAAATTTGTTTATCATGTTTAGGAGGGATGCGTTCTATAATTAGAACAAGGTGATTGAGGCAGAATATAGTCACAGATTTGCATAATATCATTGAAAACATTTGTAGATAAAAATAAATATATTCCATTTTATGGATAACGAAATGGTGCATCCGTACGCAGTAACAGTCTACGCTGGCGGAGCACCAGTGGAGGATGATAAGATGAGAATGAGATCAGGTCAAATAGCCCATTGTGACAAATTCACCAGGAATTTATCATAATTGTTTTCGTGGAGAAACTTAGAAGTCTATCTGACCCCACTGTTTGCAATGTACCATACATTGCAAGCAGTGGGGTTATCTATCAGTCCACATTACTAACAATCCACTTCCCTGCTATATATCCCATATGAATAGATGATTATTTAAAGTAGTAAATTTTGGTCTGATATTTAATCCCACAGACTAAATGTGCAGGTGGAAAATAAAAAATGGCATAAATCGATATTATTTTTATATTGTTATCTTTAATACTATTTAGGATTGTCAGTAACAAGCAGGACTAAATTGAGACTCAATGGTATTAAAAGACGTTTGAAGGGCCACCCACATCTCACCGGGTTGAAGCATACTGCAACATTTCCTCGTATTTCTGAAACAGACAGATTACATAATGTGACAGAAAGGGACTAGAGAGGGCAGTCAGTCCAAAATATGCAATAAAAATATGTATCAAAAAATAACCTTTCTTTTCCTTTCACTTATCAGCGATTGTAAAAGTTGTTGTCCTTAGTCTCGCCTATTTCTTTGTAGCTTACAGTGTTTCGGTTGTGGGCACCGATTACGCAGTGAAATTATAGGATAAGAGCTATGACGTCGAGTCGTATCCTTTGGAATGGTAATGTATTAGTCATGGCAGCACATGATAACGTGATGTCTATAGTTCTGTATACGTATTGTATATAGGGAATGGTTAGGTGCTTATCATTAGATGGGTCGACATCTTTTTTGATATACCAAATACATAAATAAATTAAAACTCGTCGAAAGTCGACCTAAATTAATTTGAATTTAATTTTAAGTTTCTATTGTTAGAGACGTAACATGTATATTAATATGTCATATCGTAATCTGTATAATTTCTTTCTTTCATTAATTTAGTATATTTTTAAGAATCATTATAAAATAAGTTTTGCTTTATGTGCTCTGTCTCTAAGAAAATTTAATTAGACTAAATTTCATATTACTGATTTCCGTCACAGATTCTGTTTCAGGTATTAATATATAAATAACTAAATAATTACATATTTATAAAACAGCGCTAAATCTAGTTCTAAAATAGTCATAAATACAAATGCACTACGGATATTACACATCTGAAAGAAATACATTAGTAGGTCATTTTTTTTCTAATACACAATTTTATATTGTGTATATGTATTAGAAAAAAAATGACCTACTAATGTATTTCTTTCAGAACAATACACATATAGATTGATGCCCACGCTATACAATTTGTATTCTTGAAGAATACAAATTGTAAAACGCGGAGATCGAACTAACACCCACCGACACTGTGCTAAACAACCACCAACATTAATGTATCATCGAAGAAAATAGGAACAAATCAATGATTATTGAATTATGTACAAATTTCTCCCTCTCTTTTAGCTTATTATCAAACATTGGATTTATAAAAATCGAGTGAATTTGTATGTGATTTCATATGAGGTCAAGAATACATGGTCATTATATTACATAATCTAAAAGAACATCTTGGTGCAACCGACTAAATATTACTTAACAATAAAAATTTTATCATACATAAACAATCTTGCGCATTTATAATTAACAATATCTTCACGGTAGGTCACTCACGGAGTAGGCAGAGAGAACAGATTAGTCTAATTTGAATAGATTTTTAAACAAATAGAATTAGTAATTGATTTTTGTTGATTGTTGTTGTTGATGATATAAGTATGTACTCGTTAACATTCAGGAGTATTATTCCTAAGGGGGTAGTTAGGGAAATTCTTTTAATGGATTAATGTTGAATGGTGTTTGGATTCTATTGGAAGATGTAGGATGAGCATGAAATCAGGTTAGTTAGTCCATCCTGCTTAATCACCACGAAATAGTCGCGATGGCTTCCAGGGAGGCTACGTCCATCAAAAAGACTCTAATCGGAGTAGGTATAGGCATGTTTTACTTATTAATGAAAACTTATTAGTGTCCCTATATGTAAAACAATACACCCTTAATGGAGACACTAATCTTCATAGATACGGAAAACAAACAAACCAGGAATGAACCTGGCTGATGTGCTTTGGGGCTGCGTGGAGGTCAACATGGTATGATAGTGTTAGCACCCAATTGCTAATTCCCATAACTACCAACCCCCTCCACCCATCACACGCATTGATAACAGTGGACGTCGTGGTGAAATTAAAACTAAATGAATAAAGTTACTATTTTTTTTTGTTTCAACTAAAATAAAATTGTAGTGTTTAATTGTAATTTCAATATAACAGCTTTTAAAAAAATATGAAACAAGTATAAGGAATGATGAAATATTTTTTTAATGTATATAAAAACAAATAAGTAACGACCGCCACGCCACATTTAGTAAACATGACCACTCGAGACACTCGACCACATAGCTACGTAAAATTATCATGTGGTAGTTATAGTACGTAAGAATGCATACGCACATCAATCCAAAAACCGCTAAGCTATCATATTTCAAGAAAGAAGTAAGAAAAAGAATAAATAATGTTGTCCGCGCTATATACTTATTTTTTACTAGATCCAAAAAAAATACCACTATACGTGTAGTAACAACAAGACCGACACGTAGTGTATGTATAGTATTGTCTCCTACAATAAAATTCTTGTCTATAGCCAGACATCAAAGATTGGAGTCGTTACATAACATGAATATAGTCCATTCACGGGCCGAAACTGGTACGAGCGTTGCGTTCGAGATCGTTACCAAATGTATTGCTCAAAACCCACCTTTCATAATTTGTAATTGTTGTATTACCTCATGATGACTTTATGAATTATATTACACTCACAAGGGAATAGGGAAAGACTTTCAAATATAATAACATACTGCCCCTCCTATATATTCATACATTCTATTTTGTTTTATCACGAGATACATTAATATATGCAGTAATTTATTGAAAATTCGAACACTATCAATGTGGGTTCTATTTTAATATTTTGAAAATCGAACTAGATGTTCTGAACAATTCCAGAAATTTATTGTAAAATACTACACTATAAATGTTTCATTTTTTTAAATAATTTTGAAAATCGAACAGATCTAGTAATTAATTAAGAATCCATATTAACAATGTTTGAAAATGCTTTTGACTATCTATTCGGATACTTGTTCGGAAATTCAAAAGTTTAGATAAAAACCCTGATAGTGTTTGATTTTCAATAAATTACTAGATTTGTTGATTATCTATCATCTATCACTGCCCACTTTTTTTTTAATAAAATTTGTATTTTAAAAATACTTTTCAATAATTATAGATATAGAACTATTGACCTGACTTGGGCTGACTGACCTGTCTTCGTCCACGAGAAAACCAGCTATAATTGTTTTATTATAGATAACCTAAAACGAATGTCAGATTTTGATAAAATTTAGGTATACCAAATCAAAAGGTGGAGCTTACAAATAAACAAAAATATGTATTCAATATCAGAAAAAAAGTTTTGATTATTCTTATAATTATAATAATATATACAGTCGAGTTGAGTTCTTTTCTTACTTACCTAGAAGGTATTGGAGTAGTTTTAAACAATGTCTGAGTATTTACTATATCAGAAAACAATTGCGATATATTCGCAACTACGAGTAGTATGCCTTGGTAGACAAGCGGTTAGCACACCGCTTTCCTTGCGATTGTCGCGAGTTCGATTCCTCGCAGAATGGAAACAGATGTATTTATGGGTATAATTTATAATTGTTTGTATTGGTCTGGGTACTTTATATGTATATTATCTATGTATCCATAACTCAAGCTGTACTTCGCTTGGTAATCGACGGCGCTCTATCAATTGTAGAAAGTAAAAAGCATTCGAGGACTAAGATGTTATGCATCAATAATCTATAATTATATGCCACATCTCACAATGAAATGCAATCTTTTCATGAAACGATTCACGATTTTGTCACAACGATATACAAATAGTAAACTATGATCTAACAAAGCAGTACAAGATAAAAACGTCACCAGAAGTTGTGAACATTTTACATTTCATCATTTGCTTTGCCGTAAAAAAAGTAATGACAAAAATATTACGTGGCCACGTTGCGGTGGTGGGTAATAACATTTAGCATTACGTTACAAGGGTAATTGAGTTAGGTCAGAAACATGTTGCAGCACAGGTAAGTGAGAAAGGTAAAGTAGCACAGCTGAGTTTTTCTAACGCAACTGACTGGACACATTAACTTACTTGTTGGGGGAAATTTCATATTCCTCCGTTCGCGTAATTTTCGTATAACGGGGTACAAAGTTTTTGCATCACCTATTAATATTTTGAAAATTAAAGTTCAATTAATACAAATTAATGGAATCACGTGATGTATTTTTTAGCTATTTCTAACACCCCACCCTCATACAAAGAGTCTTAAAATTTATTTATCGTAATATTAATTGTGAAGTAAATTTTTGTACCCCTTTTGACTAAAATACGCGGACGGAGCAGTTTTATAGTTTATATAGAGAAGAAATGAAGAATGTATAAGCAGGCCTTGTACCTTGTCATAATTCGTGATATCGCAATATTACTATTATGTATAATAAGACCAATAAGACCAGACATATCAGATATGGTAACTATACTAACGGTCATGGATTAAAAAAAGTGTATTTTCAACTAATGAGTAACTACATTCATAAATCTGATAACCTCACTGTAATGTTTGATGTAACTCGTATAAGAGGTATTAGACCTTAAATCTTATCTAATGATAAATGTTTCTCAAATATTATTAAGTCTTAAAATCATCAAATTGTATTCAAACGCATATTTATCATAATGAAAAATATGCGCTTCGAAAGTTGTTGAAATGTATTAAAAACTCAAGAATTCGCAAATCAATTATGATGTTGAATCCATAAATTTGTAGTAAATATATTGTAATAAAATCTATCTCACGTCTTTTACCAACAAGATTTAAATAAATTGGTCCAGTGTGCCGGATATTAGCAAGAAGGAAGATTGCGAGATTTTCGTTTATTAAGATAGAAAGTTAATTATTGTATGCGATATCATTATGTGTGATTTCTATTTAGATGTAATTATCTTACGAGAACGTACATATTTTCTGCTCCCATGGCGTGTGACGTCACATGGTTATGTTCATGAAACCAGATGCAATGATACGGCAGGCCTGCGTCAGAACTATCAGCAAGAATGTGAACGCAACGCAAATGAATACGATCTCTACCAGGTCGAAGTGGCTGCACACTCCTGATTTAGGGGGGAATTCGGGAGCCATTTTACTTCATTGCTGTGAAATATTTAAAATAATTAAAAAGTTAACACTTTATTTAATAGTATACTTTTAAGCGAGATTTAAACAGGAATTTTATTATTATTATTATATACATATAATACAACGTCTTAGTAGACGTTGTATTTCATTATTAATACAATGCGGACACTTCCCCTTTCTTAATATTCTTCTTTCTATATGTTGCCATGGGTCATCACATAAGCAACATTTAAAACTTTTAGACGATATGATGTTAAATATAGATTTAACAATATATTCTTTGAAAATGTCATACTACTTCCTCCACTCCATTTCCCATAGGAAGGATCAATTCACAATCAGTGTTTATTAGTAATATGGAGTAGTGACTTCATTATAATTTTAAATTAGTTATGTACCATGCCAGGTTGACCTCTACGAGGCTCTACTTAAAGCCATCGTGATTAACTATTATTGAATTTGTCACAAATGGCCGACCTTACCTGACCTTATGCTCATCCTAACAAACTATCATCCTTCAATGGTGCCCCGCCAATGGCGAGCCATCGTAAGCCATAGCACATTTGTACCGTTCCATTATCCAGGAAAACCACACAAACAGATAACTGGTTATTTTGTTTAATGAAAATTCTATTGTAGTAGAAAATATTAACAATGGATATTTTCTTACCAATTAATACACTACTTTTCTAATTAATCTTAAGGCTCGAACAGTTAGCAATATCGGGGGTGGTATGCTAAGGGCGCATAAATCTAAAATTAAAGAGATTTACCAAATATTATATTAGCATTAATTTGATGTATCTTCTCAAATGAAGAAAGACTTAAGTAGCCGAGCAGCGGACAATAGGAGTGATGAATTTTCCATCAGATCTCAATCTGCTACTTAATACGTATTTTTGTACTTTTGTGAGATTGTATCTACTGAACCCTTGACTGAATTGTTTTAATGTTGGATAGCCCATTTCAGAAGGAAGGCTATGTGCTATATAATATCTCGCTACGACCAATAGGAGCGGAGTTAAATGAAAACTGTTGCAAAAACGGGGAAAATTTGACGCGGATGAAAATGCGTTGCGTCAGCTAGTAAAAATATAAATATTTTATCGTTATTATTACTTATTAAATACTTAAAAGTATCGAGACCTGGTGGTCCACTACTCAGACTAACACAAAATCATTAATTCGATTCTGACCGACACCAAAAAACAGTGTTAATTTATATTGTCTGACTTATACTGCCTGGGCTTTATACCGTCTGGCTCTTCTGTAAAGGAACGATGGACAACTAACCAAAAATTACACCTAGTCCGGTAGGCTCCCCTAAATATACCCACCAAAATGTGGACATGTCAAGTGTTGTGTCCATGGTGACACTTGACATGGGTACTTGACTACCCCATTTGGAATAATAGTCGTGGTGATAGGTATTTTTTTTTACTAACGTTAGTTTTACTCACATACTTAAGTAAAACTTTTGAACATAAAGACGGATTAAAACAACGTCTAAATATCTATAAAACATACGCACCGCATTGATTATTTCTTTTTCTTTCAGTCATATTGTATTAACTATTTTTAGCATAACAGCAACTTTATACAACGTACAATTATATTTGTACGTTGTATTGAAAATAATATCGAAAATTACATGCTACAAAATCAATGTCGTATTAAAACGAAAATTTTGAAGAATGCCGAGATATGAGCGTGACAAACGAATTGTCATTTAAGTTTTAAATTAAATTAATGTCCAGAGGTAGATGTCTACACGAAAGAGTATCTTCTACCTGTACCTATTATGAGAAAGATTTTCTTTACACTGTCCTACATTTTTTTAAATTATCTCTGCAGTTTTACTTAACATACCTAGGTTATTATTGGTGGTGGTAATCTTTCGATTATTTACGTGTCTGTTTCAAATAAACTAAATGTATAAATAACTTTTTTTGTTCATCACATACAATTTGAATAAACAAGCCAGTTGAAATGATGCTATTCCAGGCACCGATGAAGATTGGAAGGAGAATCAAATCAGGTTCAAAAACTTTATATATATTTATATATATATATATGATTATTTGAAGGAGGATAGCATGAAAGTCTAATTTACATGGTATTCCTAGCAATGTGACTGTAATGTGGATTAATAATCCCTTTACTAGCAATGTACCAGTACCAATATCTAGATAACCTCCACGCGGTCTCTCTTGGAAACCATCATCTTAAATTCCTGGTGAATTTGCCATGATGTGCTAACTGACTTGACCTCATACTCATCTTATCATCCTTCACTGATGTCCCGCCAGCGAATACCGTTAGCGCAGGCGAGCACACCATTCAATTATTACTCTTAATAAAATCTTTACCCAAATTATACAGTTGCATTTCAAATTAAATTCTAAGGAGATGGAGACCTCTAGTTATATTTCAATATAACACGATTAGATGGGAAGTATGCTGATAACTGACTAGTCAATATGAGCGTACATTATTGCTAATATGATAACTATTTAAATCAATGAGTGGCTGCTAGATGGCGCTATTTCTCGTTTTTAGTTTTCAAAACAAAATGTCACTATATTTTGATGTAGTGTCACGAAGGTTTTATAAAAATGTGTCCATATACAACATTGTTGTATACACTATATTTTGGTCCTTTTTTAAGAACACGCTGTTAATATTTAATGTATATGTATGTTTTCAATTTGTATGATCAATGAAAGCCTAACGACTTTGTATAGCCTACTATACGACAGGTGTTAGAATTCGACAGTACAACAGCCACCTTAGCCGTAAACAGCCGCTTAGAACATCGCGATGTGCGCGCGCAGCATTACCGTTTAATTCGAATATTCAAATATCGAACTTCGATGTAGTACTGCATTTTTAATTAATGTATTTGAATTGAATTTCGAAATTACAATGTATATGCAAACTTACGACTCGCTGCCGGCAAATCTCGATGATGAGTTTCCTAGGCCAGTCGAGTCCATAATGAGATGTGATGATTTTAAAAGCAATTTTGCTAGGAGGCTTTCTAATAGGTACACATATAAAACGCCAATAACAATACCGAAACAAGATACTGCCCTGAAATTGCGTCCCCAAGACATGAAATCCAGAGAGGCCACTGACAATGTAAGTTAACAATATATATTTTTTATTAATTACCAAATGCTTATTATTATTTTTTTTTACACTATGTAATCCTGAGATCCATATATAATGTATGAGGGCACTTCACACAACACTATATAGTCAAAGCTAAGCAGATATTGTATGGGTTACCACATATTTAGTTGCATTTTTTGTAAATACACAATGCACATAGAAAAACAAATGTTTGCATCATACGAGGAATTGAACCCACGATCATCGGAAGTGCTAAACCGCTAGACCACCGAGATGGTCATTACATTACCAAATAATTTATGTGTTCGTTATGAATAAGCTGTTTTGTATATAATGTTTTTTACCGATGAAATACTTTTGTTGTTTGTTTACAATCATCAGTAGCGAGTGAAAGTGATTAATATCCAGTAGGTATTGAAATGGTATGCTTGGCGTAACACTATACAATTATAATTATAATGTCTATCATTAATGGCGTATTACAATGCGAATTTATCGTAACATGTCTATTAAGTTTAAGACTAGCTGAGGCGTCCTGTTTTTACAAGTGTACATACCTTTAAAAAAAACTTTCATACTCAAATTTCCCTTAAAAAATACCATTCTTTAAAAAAAGAACATACAATTTTATGACAAACTTTCATCATTTATTTTATCCGTTAGGGTGACTTAACAAAATCTCTGATTAAATCAGACATTTTATTAAAAGAATCGAAATTTTTTACATCAAAAAAAAATTTCATACATGTAGAAGAAATGTTTAATGTTTTATCTTGAAGAAAGAAGGTAGGGTTAAAATTTAAATGTCCAGATTTTAGATAATTCAACCAGCCAGTCAGAACAAATTTCTTTATACATATGTACCATATATTGCTACGTATATCATCATCTGCTTCTTCCTTATCCCATTTATTGGGGTCGGCGTAATTTTTATATTTGGTAAAAGGGTATGTTGAAAATAAAGTTTATAGATCCTATCTGCTGCTAGTCTTGTACTATGTTAAGTTGACTCTCCCAAGGTCTCTCCATGGTTGATTCATATGGTTAATTCCTGGTGTATTCGCCACGGCAGACTAAAATGTCCACTAAAGTTTATTCTTATCTTTTATTCTTATCCTATCGTCTTTCACCTGTGCCACGTCAGCATATATTGTAAGATCTAAAAATCTGGTTTTAGTCATAGTTTATTTAAGTTTCTTTCATGGTTTTCCGTAAGTTTTTTTTAATGGAATAGTTCTGCCGTCTGCGCTAACGGCTTATGCTGGCGGTGTGCCAGTGGAGGATGATAGGATGAGCATGAGGTTAAGTCAAATAGCCCATCGTGGCAAATTCACTAGGATTTTTTAACGATGGTTTGCAAAGAGAACCGCGTGGATGTCAACCTGACATGGTAGCTAGCTAGCTATGGAGTTATAAGTCCACATTGCTAACAGTTCCCTTCCCGTCGGTCATCTGTAAGTTATTATATTAATTAATCCCGTAATAATTTTTTAAATATCATATATATGGATGCAGTCTCGTAAAGATATGGTAGCAATGAGAGAATAAATCTATAGTCAATTAAATTCAATCAGATTTTGCAATTTGCAATATTTTGTTCTCCTGGGTACCTCACTGCTTTGTAAGCTGTGTTTCGGTTGAAGTTTTGAAGGGATAAGGCAGTAAAATTACAGTATAAGGGACATAATGTTATGTCCCTTATACCCGAGGACTAACATGTCTTCGTCCTCCAGAATAGCAATGTATGAAAGATTTCACGGGCGTTACTCACGTTTATATTGGCGACAGGTTTTTTTATGGATGATAATTGGATAGTGCACCCTCCTACACTAACGGTTTACGCTGGCGTGCCATCGTGGAGGATGATAAGATGATCACGAAGACAGGTCAGTTAGCCCATCGTGACAAATCACCTGAATCTTATCACGATGGTTTCCAGGGGAAATCGCGTGGAGGTCAGCCTGATATAGCGATGAGTTGGTGTGAAGGAGATTGTTAGTAATTTGTGTAATAACCCCATTGCTAGCAATGCACCATGTTGTCTGATTTCATGCTAATTTTTTCATCCTCCACTTGTGCAGCGCCAGCGTAAATCGATAGCACAGGCGGGTGCATCGTTCCATCATCATCCCTAAAAAAGGCAATTCGTTTCTTAAATAAAAAGAATGTAATGCTTTCTAATGAGCGCATAATTTTTTTTTTTTAAATTAATATCCACATTAGTAACAATCTCATCCCCTCGACTTTATTTATTATAAAAAAAGCACTCGTAAAAACATGAACTCGTCTCAACACATCTACATAACATTATAACTGTTGCCAGTTTCTTGCATCTACGGCCAGACTTCATAATGACAATATGGAATTTGACTAGTAAGAAAGTGTACCTATTAAATAGAAAATGTTGTGACCAGAACTAGAAATGGTTATATATCATTGCCACAAAACGCTGCGTGCCATTAAAAGGAATGTCGCAATTTTTTTGTTGTATTGTGGTCTTTATGCGTTGTTGTCGTTTTACAACATACACATACTAATATATTTCTAGATGCAAACATTGCATTATTACTATTGGTTTCAGATATCAATTACTGTAGCGAAAATTGATATTCTGCAGACTTATAATTAATTAAAGAAACTATCATTATTAAAGTAATTTAATATTCCAACATAAAACCGTTTTCAATTTTATATACTGATGTATACAATACTAGCGACCCGCCATGACTTTGCACGGGTTTTAATTTCTGATTGACCTACCTCAGAAATCGCTCAGAAAGGTTTCAGTAGCTTTTGAGATTATTGCAAAGATAAGGAGACCTGTATATCATTAATGTAAACAATATCTATTTGTCACAATTAGGGAGATTTAGGATCTTCCTAATTGTGATAAATAAATATTGTAAAGTAAGTATAAATTCTTTAAGTACAGTAAAAGTCATAGAAATGTATTTTTAAAAATGTGAATTAAGAATTCATTATACAATATTGTTAGAATGTCTATATGAAATAAAGATATAAAAATATTAATTGTAGAAATAGATTAAGAAATAGAAATAATCTTTATTTAAATAAACTGAACATAAGTTATTTTGAAAGGTTATTATTTTTTTATTCTACCACTCACTCGGAACGCAGACCCTTCACTAGAAGAAAGAGCAAGAAATCTTTCTTGTCACTCGTTTATATGATTTTTGTTATAGGTAAATACACATTAACAAGGATTAGGTATGCGACGATCAATATAGAAACCGTAACGGTATTATTATATTAGGTGGTAGTAAGTCTCGCCTATCAACACTAATAAGCAGAATCATATAAATAAAAAATAATCTTTTCGGCGCTCTTGCAGACTTTCTTTTGTTGCCATACCAAAGTGCCGCGCTTTAATTATGCCCCGTAACCTAAACTATTAACAAGTAGGTATATAATCTATATTTAAAATTAGAATAGAATAGAAAATTATTTATTCAAATAAACTTACATTGAAGCACTTTTGAATAGTCATCACTTATTTCTTTTAATCTACCGCTCTAGAAGAACGAACAAGAATCTTGCTTGTTACTCTTTCATAAAACAAATATCTTGGGCATAATAATTTTGAACTAATAACCGTATAATAATATTAATAAATTTGAAATATTAATATTTAATCAGTGTCAATATTATACGATAAGAAAATTATACGAAAGCTGTTATATGTTATTATAATTATTGTATAACATTTGAAGGTTTATTAGGGTTACTATATTTATTCATGTTTCTTGTCATTACGACAACATGTTAGGTAATATCCGAATTCCAATACTTATTATGTATATTACTTAACACATAGAGTCTTTTGAACTTAGAATATATTGATCACATGCATCATATTTTATATAATAATAATAATAAAATGGGACCATTATCACAGTATCACCTTTTTTCAACTTAAGCAGAACCTGTTAGAAATCTTTAAATACATATTTAATATAGATTCAGAGCACATTATTTTTTTACAAAAAATTTCAAATATTTGTATGTGTTATTTGCATTTCAGATTGATAGGACTCTTTTTATCTTTAAGTCTTTCTTGAATGTCCAAGAAATGACCGTGACGGTGCGGTAGTATATTTACTTCGCTTCACTTTCTGATGAATATATTTATTGTTTATAATTTTCTGTATATTATTTTATTATAGAAGAAAAATTGACAACTGAGACTGCATCTATAAAGAATATTAATTATATAAATTAGCAACTTTCTTCTGTAATTTCTATTGACCGAAGAGCTGGCAGCTACCTCAGACAAAGATTTAGTCTAGCCATTCAAAGAGGGACCGCTGCCAGTAAATTCGGAACTTGGCCTAAAGGGACTCTTTTTAATAATATATTTTAGTTATCAATCCCTGACTGATTTGACATTTGATATGTAAAGATAAATATATATGAAGCTTAAACATATTTTTTTAGGGTTTATATATAGTTTTTTACAGTATGCATAATTTATATGTGTATAGAGCACAGAACCTGTTTCGGCCTTACATGGCTGACGTTGTGAAGTAACGCTGACGCTGGCCACCATAAGTGGATACTCTTCACTATTACCTATTACTGAATAGTACATTCAAATGCAAAATAAAATTAGCAACACCGCAACATTTGCGTGCATTGCCCAAACAATGGTATTGTTTGCATCAACAATGCTCAGATAAACATAACATACGCATGTTTGAAAAAGTTCAACAAAATCATTGACTGACCTAAAAAGGAATGAAATGAACACTATTATGTAATTTCAAAGGCAATGGGCTTGTTATAGTTAGGGAAATAGGAGTGGCGGTTTAGTTTGTATACAAATTTAGAGTAAACACCAAAAAAAAAAATTATCGTGTCCGTCAATGAGTGTTTTATTTGACGCACCCAATACGGACTGGTTTACACGCAAATTGACGTTGATAGTTGCCAGAATCTAATTCATTTTTAACTACTATACTCATATTTGTTTTTATATTATCAGATAA